TAACAAATTATTTATTCTCTTTGAACCTCCTTGTCCTCATCTCTAAAAAAAAAACAGGGACAGAGATAAACAATTCTCTAAGATCATAATCAATAGATGGGTAGACTTGGAATCTGGAAGATTTGGATTTAAATAATACCTCTGACACGAAATATTTGACCATAAGGAAATCACAATCTATCTTAGCCTCAGTTTATTCAACCACAAAACATTAACAATAGTACTTGCCTCACAGGGTTTATTTACAACTCAAATAGAATAAAGTAGTAAAGCACTTTGCAATCTTTAAAGAGACATATAAAGTCAACTATTATGGTTATTGATATTGTTTGTGAGTCCTCTAAATCTATTATAACACGATGAGAAAGTGTCCAGAATTAAAATATTAAAATGTTAAAAAGAAAACAATAAAGGTCAGAAAAAAATACATATAGATCCTTACTATGAAGAAGTTATGCATATCATAGACTCATAAACTCTTTTTATTTCCTTTCTCATTCATCCTCATAGGCAACGTACAAAAGGGGGATGTAGTTAAGAAGAAATAAATTGCAGTCTAAAGTTCACAAAACTAGCCAATCTTAAAATCTCTGGGAATTCAATAGGCAACTTTATTACTCCACATCTTTCCACTCCTCCAAAATGCTTTTCAAGGTTTCTCTTTTTGTAGATTATCTTCCCTGACTAGCCCTCCTCAACTATAAATGACAGAATCACAGGGCTTGAAAATAAGAGGACTCAAAGGTCATTTAATTCAATTCTTACCTAAATCATTAATCCAATCTACAACAAGAGGGGGAAACAATCAATATGTGTGTGTGTGTGTGTGTGTGTGTGTGTGTGTGTGTGTGTGTGTGTGTAAGTATTACGTATGTATTTAGTGACACAGAATGTACAAATTGGGCCACCTATTCCATTTTTTAAATATAATTCTAATGAATAGGAATTTATGACTTCTACTAAACTGAGATTGTTTTACTCAAAATGTCTCATTTGGTCTTAATTATGCTCTCTGAGGTCAAGGAAAATAAGTCTAATTGCTTTTCTATAACATATTTTCTAATATTTGAAGGGCTACCATGTCCACTGGTCCAGATGAAAACTCCACATTTCCTTCAATAGATAACATGGCCTTGAGTCCTCTTACCCTCTTTTGAACACATATCAATTTTTCAACACAATCAATCAAAAACTGTCTCAGAACTAAAGGGATCACAGAATCTCAAAGTTGGAAGGGAACCTAGGGCCCATTTAATCCACTGTGCTTGCTTCTAAACCAAGATCCCTTCTAAGACATCATCCAGCCTCAACTCAAAAACCTCTGGCCTAACCAGAATAGAATAGACTTATCTGTCACACACACACACACACACACCAACACACACACACACACACACACACACACACACACACACACACACACACATGCTTTCTATGGTGACAGATCTTCTGTAAATGTGGTCAAATATCCAATTAAGTATTTTAGCTAATTCAACCTTAAACCTTTCTTTGTATCCCCTTGGCTCATATGCACTAGATTTATACTACATTAATATACATTATTTTCTATGTGGATGTTTTCTATAATGCTAATTGCAAGCTCCTGAAGTTTCCAAAGTGAGTGCTTAGTAAATGTTTTTGTCTGAAAAAAAAAAAGGCCTGTGAAAAACAATGCACTTCAAGTCAGTTGTGAAGACAGCTGCATCAGCTGACCTTTCTCTTTTTTAAGTCATTAAACATTAGACACCACCAATAATTTGCAATATTGCTTGCTGTGTGATGAGGTTCTTGCCTCAGGTTTCAGAGTGGTGTTTTAGTCATTACCTGTGCTTCAGCCTAGCAAGCTAGTGACCTTCTTTGGTTATTTCATTACCTTCAATAGCATCAGACATCCTTCTAAATGAATAGCATTAGCCCAAGAATAATCAATACCTGTCTAAAAGTCAACAGTCCCAGTAGTTAATTCTCCTCTACCACATTCCTTGACAGAGAAGCCTAAAAAATAGTTCAAGTGAAGATTTAGCTTTGATTAGAGAAGAAAAGTTAAATTTATTCATATTTAAGTGACCTATGGCTGTGTATGTTGACACATTGGCACAGTCATTGTTGTGGTGGCAGAATCAGGGGGAAAATATGATATGAAATCAACCAAATCAAGAATTTGCCTAGAATACCTGCAGTGTGCATGTGACTATACTAGGCAGGATATGGCATATAAAGAAGTACAAATATACATTTGAGGACATTCTTGTCCTCAACCAGTTTTCTCTCTGATCTGGGATAGTTAATTTGAGATAGTCACACATGAGTTTTCTGCATGCACAGACCAAACGTATTCTTTTGCAAGTTGTAAATATCACAGAAATGACGGATCTTTTCTCCATTCTATCCAAAAGTATTTATTTTCATTCACTTCTCCATTAGCTCATTTTCTGGTTGACTACTGCTGAATTCCCATTGGCATGTCTATGGGTGCAGTTTATTCCAATGACCTGACTCCTCATTTTCACATTCTACTTGGAAGACCAGAGATTGAACAAATATTCTCATTCACAGAATTCAGGGACAGATAATGAGATTGTGCTGGCCATTTACTCTACTTCAACTGACTGCTAATGTTTGCCCCTTTCAAATTCATATTGGGATAAAGGGATGATTTAGAAAAAATGACTAAAAGAAAAAGCAATGGTGAGAGAAGGGGAAGAAATTGATAGCTACTTCATGCCAGAGAGATGAACACCAATTCATTAGTAGGCTTCCATTTAAAGGTTTTAAATTTATTTAAAGGTTCAGTAGTGTTGTTTAAACATTAATTAAAAAATCCTGACTTAAAATTTCCTGAAAATTCTACAAGGTAAATCCTGCCTCTGACACATGCTGACTGAGTGACCCTGGACAAGTCACTTAGATCAATTTCTCAAGTTATCTCTAAAGATTTCAAGTTAAAGAGCTGGTGCCACTCTACATTACACATTGGCAGAGGAAAGTTCCTCCAAACGAGTTCCCCACATCAATGATACAATAGTCCTACCCCCAAAATAATCCTAACCTACTATTCTACTATTCCATTTATAATTACTCTGGCTTTATGATATTTTGTCTAATCTCATCACGTTTGTAGCCAATACACCAAAGTCTTGAATATGGTTCTTTCCAGTCACTTTTACTCGTCTAAAACAGGTTTTCCACAAGTGTCTCAGTAATGTTTGTAAGGATTATTGCTGAAATATTTTAGTGTGAAGCCTTGAAGTCTCACTAATATAGTCTTAGAACTTTATTTCGGAATATATTTAGAGCTATGCATCCTTTACATTATAAAAGTTAATGATGAAGGCAATGCATTATTGAAATATTCAGTAGGAATTGTAACCATGATCACATATTCTTGGCAATAGAATAAAAATGTCACACTTAACACAAATGAAGAATCTATATTATTTTGTATTTGGAGATCTGAAATAAGCCAAATAGTTAAAAATCCTAGCAGTATAATAGGTGATGTCTCTGATACAAAAGTGTAAAATTAAGGCTTGCTGCAGACCACTAGGTCTCTCACTGAGGATGGAACAAAGGCCAGTTTGGTCCCACTGGTGAATTGAGTATGGGATGTGTTATTTTCTTCCTCCTTCAAAATAGCTAACCCTGATTCAAAATTCAGAACTGCTAATGGGAAAACCCAAAGTGGACCTTGGTGCAATGATCAAACATTCAAGAAGTTATAATCCATTTACTTCTTTCTTCTGGAAAGAAGTATGGAAAATATTTTCCTAACCTTGTCATTGTTCCCTAAAATACCTTTAAAACCCATTCCCCTGCCAAAGGGTGATCCATCATTTTGGTCCATCTACTCCTTATGTTTTAGTACTGGTCAACCGAATTGCCAAGAGCATCCCAATGACTTTTTTTTTTCAAGCCTACGCACAAAAGGATTTCCTCAAAACTTGCCTTTATAATAAACTTTTTTAAAATTTGTTTTTCATATCATCATGTGAACACTTTTAATGCATCTCTTTGGTGAATTGCCTTAATTCATTTTTATTCTAATTAATGGCTTAGTATCATTTTAAAGCAAAATTCAACTGTTTCCTGGAATATGGTTGCACCTGTATTTATGTTAGCCCTTTATGGATCCATATGCAAAACTTTAAACAGTTGAGAGCATTGCAAAAAAAAAAAATTAAAAAAAAACCAAAACTGTTCAAGAGCAGAAGCTACATAGTAATTCAATTTGCCACATACCTCCTATATAATCTTATTTTTCTTTATCCAGACCTTACAGTTGGCAATGAAGCTGCCTGATAAAAGCCTTTTTATACTTTTCATTTCATTATTTCCTAAATGAACCACTAGACTCAGCAATCCCTCCTTCTAAAATCATTCTGAGCCCCACACACACACATATTTATCTTTACATAATAATTTTCTTTTTCAATGTGAACAACCAAGGGATTTTTTTAGCAGTCTCTGAAAAAATAAATACCCCAAGACAGGCTTCTCCCTAGGGATTACAAAGCTGAGTCGCTTCCTAAGGTGCTGTGTTCTCAGCGTTTATAAGACAGATCTTTACCCCTTGAAACAATGAGCAATCTAATGAATGAACTAGTTGATAACTAGTTGGTCAGAGAAAATAGTCCCTACATCTTTAGGAGTGTCTGTAAGCATATTGTTCTGCCCATATGGTCTAAAGCAGAAAGGTTTGAAATCCCCTTTGTAGCATCCCTTCTTGTAAGCTGCCCCCTTAGGCTTCTCCCAGATAAACTAGCAGTATGTTTTTTATTCCCTACAGTGCATTTCTCCTTTCCTTTCGATCAGGTCCTAAGCATATCCGTCAGTCCAAATGGGAGCTGAGTTTGCAAGCTGACAGGGGATGGAAAGGGCTGGTGGTGCTGATGTCAGAGCCAGGAGACAGTTGTGATTGGATCTAATTAGACTTTGCAGCAGCAAATAGACAAGCTCCCTGCATGATTGGCTTCAAAGTGTCTGGTGCCAAACAACTAACAGAGGCGCAAAAAGTAGAAGCCGTGCATTTTACAGCCCTGCTAAGGGGAGGCAGACAGGACGCGAGCTGCCCAGAGCTCTTCCGAGGCTTGAGTCTCTCTACCTTTGCACAGCTCTCACGACATCGTCGGAGCATTTCAGCATGCCAGCCCAGGAGATCAGAGACACTCAGCCCAGCCGAAAACAAGTGACAGAGAACAATTAGAGAGGGGGCTCAGTTCTCAAAAGTGAGCCCGCTCCTTGATCTGCAAAGCGGAAGCAGCTGCTGGTGCTGCTGCGAGAGCAAGAAAAAGGTGAAATTCACCAAGAAAGAACTCGTCTCTGTTCCCGTCTATTGAATCCCAGCCATGGCATCTGTCTTGGGGAACAACAGAGGGTCTGGAGGGCTAAGTAGTCAACTCAAATGTAAGTCCAAGAGGAGGAGGAGAAGAAGATCAAAGAGAAAAGGTAAGGATCTCTCTCTCTCCTCAGCCCCCCAACTCTCTACTTTCCCTTTCTTCTCTCCCTTTCTCTGTTCTCTCTTCTCTTTATTTTGAAAAGCTGCGCTTTTAGAATCCAATGGGATGTGAAATATAAATATCACTTAGGAGTGCAGATAGTTTCATAAATTGCTAGAGGTCTGTGTAAGCCAAAATGATTTTTTTTTTTTTGGTGAATGTATATAGCAAACCGGGCAAGCAAAAGGCTTCTTTGACAGGAGACAGTTTTTGAAGGGGTAGAGGTAAGGATCGGGGAAGATAGGGAAGGAATGAGGGAGAAGCTTTTTCTTTCTTTTGACAAGAAGGGATCCATTTCCTCGACCAGGTACAGCAGTCCAGCTCCCATAGTACAAAGCTAGTGCTTTTTGACCCTGTCAGAGGTAACATTATCCTATGGTGGTTAATGAAAGAATAGCTTGAAACATCCCCAGTAAGAGCACTGAAATGAAATTTAGTGTCAGCTTTGCAGATCCAAATTGTCTTTGAGGAAGGAGCAGGCAAGTCATTGGCAATCACTTCCCCTAAACAGTCTAATAGTTTTCACTTAGAAGCGTGCCACTTCAAGGCACTTACAAGGAATGCTTTGCGTGGGATGGTGGTGATATTAATGGGGATTACTCTTTCAAAGAGAAAAAATCATAACATCATGTTAGTGGCCAAACAAGATGTAAAGGGGGTGGGTGAAGGAGGGGGGAGATCAGTTTGATGACAGGTTGCCGCTGGCAAACTGTCATGGGGCTGCCTCATTATGAATATTTCTGGAGCTCAAGTAGATAAAGTTAGTCAATGCCATCATAGACACATACCGCTTCTAAAGAGGGCTGTTGGTATAAAATTAACATTTGCTCTAATAGAAGAAGCAGTGTTCTTGTATGCTATTGCAGCCTGTGAGCACAGGATAGGCAGATGAAAAGCTTCTTCTAAGGCTGCCCTACTCTCTCCCACAGAGAGGATCTCATGTCATTGTCAGTTGCTTATTGTCCATCTAGAGAGAAAAGTTGAACTGGTGCATACATTTTGAAATTGAAGACTTTGGAGATGAGCAAATTTAGTGCTAGAAAGAATAGCCAGGAAGATACAACTAATATTCTCTCTTTGCCCCTCCCATTTGAAAGCTATTCATAGAGAATGTATTATTAGATATGGTTAGAATAGGAAATCCCTGTTCACTGCTAATTTTTATCCTTCCAAATGCCTAAGATAAGTTTCTGTCACACCATCAACCTCACTGCTTTTTAACAGCTCACAAATCCCTTATTGCCTCTTCTAGTAATGGAAATTAACCATACAGTTTGAAACCACAAATGTCAATATCCCAGGCAAGCACTCAGTAGGACTGCATGTCAAAAATAATAGTGATAAGTATAGCATAATAACTTTCTGAAATGACTTTAAACTCCACTTTCAAAGCAAAAAGTACCTGGCACCTCTTATTTTGTCCTTGGGTTGTTAAAATGGGTGCTGCATAATGTCACTTGGCAATTTAGAATATTCCATTTTGAAATAGACTTTTATGCCCTTTACAAAGACAACAATACTAAGCAGTGACATCAGCATGAGTAAAACAAGATTTGGGCTTGGATGGAACTTACAGAAGAGAAAATAAACATACTCTTGTAGGTTTGCATTCTTGTGTATCTTCGTGGATATATTCTAATTAGTGTTTCATATTATGAAAAACTTAAGTAGATTTTGAGAAATATTTTAATAAAAGTATTAAATAACCATACTAAATCTAAACCTAAAAGAAAAATAATTTTATTTGAAAGGGAGCTTTCGCCACTTCACCCCTAAAATGTAATTTCTTCTAATTCCACTTGGAAAATATTTCTATTTCAGGACACCTACTTTGGGGGATAAGGGAACATGAACTTGAACAATTTTTATTTGCCATTAACTTGGTGATAGGGCAATCGTTGTTAAAGAATTTCATATAACAGAGGCTTCCATGCTTTTAAAATTTTTACATATACCTAGATACGTTGCTCACCATCTTCTTCTTATTCTTATTCTTAGCCAATAATTCAAGAGGAAAAAGTGATCAGGTAGAGGGTAGTTTCTGCATATAGGTGAGTCTTTTGCTGAAATCTTCTACAGTGTTTTATTGCAGGGATCCTCATGTGGGAGTCAGAATAATATTATAAGGTTTTTTATGGGGGAAAATCAACTGAAATTGAGAATTGAGAAGTAAAATAATATTCTATGATATACAGAAGGGAAATCTCCCTTCATTTCATGGAATATGTGAGTTTGTGATGCCTAAATGTTTAAGCCACTTGATTTTTCTCATATAAAGAACAATGGTTGTCTGGATATTCAAATTAAATTACATTCCTAGTGTAAATTACCTTTTGCCAAAATAACCTAAATTTTAACATTTATCTAATATTAAAATATTGTACCTGTTGATAAACACTAAAATTCACCTCATTATGAAATATTTTTATAAAGACCTATGTAGCAAATAAACTGATCACTGCATTGAAAAATAAAGGTTTTTAGTTTGGAGAAAAAGCACATCCAGAACAAATATGGACTACTTGAATAGCAGGTTCCTTTTTATGTCAATTGCACAAAAAATCCTTAATAAAAATCCTTTTTTAAAAAAGTTAAACTTTTTTCATTCATTAATAGGTAATACTATCACTTTTCCATCTCCATAATTTAAATATCTCTTCATTCTTAAGTGCTGTATACATATAATTATATATGCACATATATATGTGTATATATATGTATGTATGTATATATATATATATATATATATATATATATATATATATCTCCATGTGATAGGAAATGATATAGATTTCTTTGGAATAGTTACATTTCAAATCAGCATGTTACTTAGGAATAAATAAAGAAAAAAACTAAATATATCTTAAGGTGACTTTGGGAAAATAAATTTCAGACCCCTCAATTATTAACTCTGAGCAATATTCTGCTTTTCAAAAAAAAAATAAGCGCTTTGCTTGCTATCACTAATATCTTTTTATGATCTTATTTTGGAGTTGAAACTGGTCTTAAAAATACCGTAGGGACTATAGGGACAACTGCCATTCTTTCTCTGAACATTAAAATTTTAAAATTGACATTTACATAAGAGAAAAACAATAAATTGAAATAAAACTATAGAAAGAAGAAAGGAAGACAGACATATGAATTAGAGTGTACTCATATCCCAGTGGACCAAAGGTTAAATATAGTCTTTACTCTGACTTTTCTCTATTCTTGGGGTTTCGAGAAACAGGAACACTTCTGATTTGGGGAATATTTCACTGTTAGTTATCTATCAGCAAATATCCACACAGTTCAGATCTCTCTGAGAGTACAGAGTTTTCACTTATTTTACACCACTTGTTAGAAGTGTCCTAGAAAATTGTCCTTCGCTAAAGCTGAATTGTTTGCTTGTATGGGATCTAAATACAATTATTCACTTAAGTGATCCAATAAGTAAATATGTGTAAGGTAGGACCCTTAACTCCTAATTAGAACAGTTTAACCTACTTGTGTAAAATTACAGTAGCTGTATTAAAATTCAGAATATCAATGTCACCACATGTCATCTTCAAGTAATTGTCCATTAGTCACTTTTCTGATCATTAAGGTTTCTTGTTGCCCTGTAACAACTTTAGGGAAATGCATTTTCTGGAACGTTTAAATCCATTTTGTTCATTAGTGGACTATACATATTACCAGAACCGTTGCATATATTTGTTTACAAAAAGAAGGCATTTCTTAGCCTGAAATAAACTCTGTAATTGCTTGGATTTCATTCTGTCCTGCATGAACTGGTATAAGAAGTGAAAAGAATGGAGGATTGGTGGGGAAAGAGTAAATGTTTGTTTTGTCACCAAAATGGTTGAAAAGAATGGTTGAAAATGTATTAAAAACTGAGATAGCTCTATGTGAAGACACAGAGGAAACAGATGAGTTTTTAACATGTTAATCATCATAAACTGAGAGGTAAAAAGAAAGCTTTCAAGATCAGTCTTGGGTGTGGTATAAATATGTACTTGCTAACTATAATTGAAATCAGGCAGTTGCATGTGACATTTCTTTCTCTGCAATACTTGACAGCAATGCAACTAACTCCAAGGGCTTTCATGCTGCTTCAGAGTTACTGGTCACATGTGCTTTTAGGAAATTAAAATGAATTTTGAAAACACCAGTACAAGTACCTGTAAAATATATATATATATATATATATATATATATATATATATATGAAAGAAGAGAAACTGGGAGAAAGTGATGGAGAAACAGAACAGGTTTCCAAAGCTGTGGGATGCTAATAGGAAAAAAAAAAGTTGACAAAATGCACAAAATAAGTAGAGCAGATGGGTAACAGAGGCAAGATTATTGTGAAATGAAATTCCATGAAAAATTAATGAAATAGAAAGATTGTGGTAAGGATGAAGGTAGAAAGCTACCAGGGCTTTTCATCTTCCTGCAATGCCAAAGTAATAAATGAACGTGTTTCATCTTGGCTGGTTCAGGGACACAACTCCTTCCTCACGACAGGCTTGTGTCATCGTGTTTCAAGATGCTCTCTGCTTATCTCATTCTCTGACAGCTCAAGAGGAAGGACTGGATTTGGTGATAAAATGTAATTGATTAAACCTTTAGCCATAATCTAATTTTGTAGGAATTTTTTTTAAACTGCCTCTTCCTTTGTTGTTGTTGTTGTATTTTATTATTACCTCCAATTTTTAGTGATCCATGTAAGGACAGCAATTTGAGATTGCATCAAGGGCATTAGCTACGATGACTGAATTTAAATATAGAATAAAAATATTGAATTCATGAGGCTATATCTAAATAGTGGAGGATGAGGTTATAGTAGTGATGTTTTCCTAGCAACAGCATCTATGGAAGGTTGGGATGACAAAACATTTGGTTTTTATGCGATTTGGGGAAATGATTTTCTCTCTGATTAAAACATGCAATGTTCAATTAACTCCAAAT